AGATAAAGAAAACGTCTAATAACTAATAAAAACGTTTCGAAATTTTTAAAATTTGATATCCGAAGAATTTTTTTAATACATTTTACCCACTCCCTAAAAAGACAATACTATGATGTTTATTAATAAGATAGAAAATGTTGTAAATGCAGTTCATGTGGGTAGTAAAATAAGTCTAATTGTCTATATAAAAAACAATATTGAGAACATTTTTAAATTTCATAACAAGTATAATAATTATAGGACATAGGTATATTAGTCATATTTCAGTCCAAAGCATTATTAAAACGATATTGTTTTTACTGTTCTGCAGGTTATTAGTTGTTACACGCGCGAGGAATGTGATTTCATAACGATAAGTCATAAGTGGGTATAATACTATATATTATATTATTACATTTTCTCGTAGGTATGCAAAGGAATATAACATATTATTATTGTTACTGACCGAAAATCAATTATTGCAGTATAGGTATTACATATAATATTAAGATTTTGTAAACAATGACACTGTCGACTTCTTGCGCGGACATTATAGGTTTTCAAGAAGACTTTTTCGACCGATGACGTCGAAACAATATAATAATGATATAGTTTTGTACATAGACGAAACACCGAGGTGTATATATGTATGTTCATTATGTGGTAGTAACTATGGTATAGTATAGTAATATATACATATGTAGATGTGTTCATTATGTGGTAGGTATACTATGGTATTATAGGTACCTATATAGTGGTTTATCTTTACAGAAGATTCGTACGATTTATAATAATAATAATATAATGGCACGTTAGATCACTTAGATATTATGCTAATTTCGACGTGTGCCTACGTCACACGACCGTATTTAATATACCCGCCCGGGACAGTAATAATGATTTCCCCTTCCCCTAAAAACAACGAAAAATAATAATAAAACGTGTATAATACACACACGGGGGAGACGGAGACGTTTCAATAACCTATACCTACATTCATATATATATAATTTATCTGTGTGTTTGTGTGTGTGTGTGTGTGTGTGTGCGTGTGTGTACCTACCTACCTATAATATATGTTTAGTTTTTTTTTTTTCTCATTTACCAGGTACACTTGCGTCAAGGGCATCCCTATAACAGCATAATAGTATCTGGCGAGACCGTGCGAGTATCGCGTATTCCGAAAACGATAATCGTTGATCGTTGACCGGCTCGTCGTCGTGAGGTACAACGCGCTTGGACGTGCCGTGCTCCTCTGTTAATAAAACGCACTACGCCGTGTGCGCCGCGTGTTTTTGAAAGTTCGACTTTGCCGGATAACGGCCGCGCACGCACACAATATCATCATCACACAGCAACAGGTAGCAGGTAAATCACAATAATAATATTCTACTTGTGAGTTGTGATAGTGACAAATAAATAAAATGTACCATATAATATTATTATTATTTTAAATTTTAACGATAAGGCGCATATACCTTTAACCTTCCTAATACTACCCATATAGGTAGGTATTTTATAATATATTTTCGTCTCTACGACGACATTTTTTATTTACAAGGAAATATTAATATCATCAATTTCCCGATACTAATAATACTATTGAATATTATCCACCCCCGATATTAAATTATTAGCTATATAAAATAATATTTTAACGACCGCTCGCTAGTTCGTTTTCGATCTGCAATATTGAGGAGCGATATAATATTCATACCTATGCAGTTTGAAAATATACGCATCTAATATTATGATTTCGTTGTTCTTTGTTCCATCAATAGTTCATTAAAATGAATTGCTCATTCTAAAGCATATCATATAGGTGATATTTTATAGGTAGTTATATAATATATTTAGATAGGCTGTTCCCGTGTTATTTTAATGTGATGGCACACTTTACAATACGATAATTATTGTATAAATGTACTTCGAGACCTTATATTATGCGTGTATACACGGGATCGCTGATTATTTTGAAAGACCTTCGAGCTCTATATAGTTTTAGTGAAGCAAAACATCAATTTATTGTTATTTAAAATATTATTATTATTTATTATTATCACTATCGAAAAACGAATAGGAAAACTTTACTCGAATACTTCAAGGATGATCGTTAATAAATAATTATTAGCTCAAATTGGATACCTATACCATCCGTATATAAGTCTCTTGGTCATTATGTGAAGTAAAAATTGCTCAAACCTTTGTTTACTTTTCTGTAATAATTTAATATGAAAAATATGAGTTATTTCTCCTCATCCTTAATATAGTTAAGGAAACTGCATAGCCAGTTATATATGACTTTAACGCGTCGTTATAGTTGCTTTGCAGTATACCTACGTATATTTGTATATTACGCAATTTGTCGCATCTTGGTCTTATGGACCGCTTGGTATGGTGCAATATAAATTACTTTAGTTTATTGATAATTGTAAATTATAATAAAACAAATCAATATTTAAAATAATAATATTATTATAAAACCCATTGAAAAATAAATATCAAATGATAATTTAAGATCTGCCTATCGTACAAACGTGGTTAGTCGCGTATTATTATGATCAATTTGACTAAAATATTATGGATATAAAACTTTATTTTAATTTTTTCCCATCAGATAATTTAAAAATACATTTTAAATTAAATTTAATTAACTTTAATAAAATTACCCGATTAAAAGATATGTTAAGTTTTAAATGCATAGGCTTAAAAATATATGTTTATTAGATGATAATATTAAATAAGTGCGTTTGTTTCGACCACAGCGTTACTAACTGTTACAGTAGGTCGGTACTCTGTATATTTAAGTTATAGTCAGATCCTTATGAGAAAAACATTTTATTCTAGAGGTCATATATTGAACATCCATTGTACTTGGGTGAAAATTGCGTACATTTTACTTTAACTAGTTACTTGTTATTATAATTTATTAATTTGTTAGACAGTTCAACCATAAAGATAAATTAAACATATACATACGTAGTATGTAGCTATTTTTTTTTTTATAAAATACGACCTTATACATCCTTACAGGTGTATTTTTTTTATTAAAAATTTCAACAATTGCTGGTTATAGAAAAAACTTTTTGATAGACCAAGATAACATAGTAATTTATAATATATAATAATACATTTAATACCTACCTAAACATAAAATATTTGAGAAGTATTTAAAACAAAGAACAATTAATATTTAAAAAGACAAGGTAGATAATCTATATTTGTGTTCAAATACTTAAAAACTTAAAATACTCAACTCAAAAAAATGGCTACGACCGGCGTGGATATATGGTCACGAAGTACTGTTACTCTGCTATATCGTTATATAGGTACATGGACGATTTTTTAATCTTTTAATTTTATAAGTAATAAATTATAATAATGTCATTATCGATAATTATAATATTATAACTACTTTGATAACGACGGTAATAAATAATGTCTTATTATTATGATGAAGCTCCAAAAATATAAAAATTACAATAATAATTCTATGGAAATTGATTTTAAAATTACTCGATCGATTGCACAATCATCAGTTTGTATACCTACCCAGACTGGGCAGCGGGTATACATACTTCATTCTTCATACGTAAATTAGTCAGGTAATTTTTACCAAAGTATACCAACAAGCGTTTCAAATTGCACCTATAGCCACATGTATGCATAGAATATGATATAATAGTATACACAGTATACACATTACACGCTATATACAATATACGTGCAGCAGCAACAGTCAATTAAAAAACGTTAGAAGGTCCCTTTTCTACGGAAAGAATAAAATAAATAAAATATATACCTAATGACGACGACGGTTCCTCGTTTTAATTATATTTATATTTATGTACGTACCTAAAATTTCAACAATAGTTTGATTTCCGTAGAACTCGTGTCTGTAGAACCAGTTTGTATTTAATTTTATGCGGATTAGTACTATATATATCTTTTTGCATACGTCGATAATGTATTCCCTATATAAAATTGAAATGAGTAAAATGTAAATTATTATTAAAATGTCGTATACATTAGACACCATGGTATGTAAATATTGTATATTTGTATGTATTTAAAAAGTACCAATAATTAGTGAATTTAATACCTTATAAAAAGAAAATGGTGTGGGGACCTTCTACTTCAGCATCTTACAATAATATAATAAATAACACACGTGTTACTACTGGGTAATCTCCCAATTCAAGTAGCCCACTGTAATACTTACCTTTTTTTGGTGTCACTCTACAATCTATACATAGTATCTACTTATTGTACATTGTCTGTATAGATTGTAGATTTCGTTCAAAAAAAAAATTCAACAGGTATCTCTGCATCATTGCAGACTATATATACAATATATATATGCAGCTTATAAAATATAGTATTGATATATTATGTTGTTATTGTATCTGCTAAGTGCTGTGAGTGTAGGTATGTGAACTATAAACGATTATAATATCATTATAAATAATGTTGAGAAAAAATTATACTGCAGTCAAGGGTAAATCCCCCGAAATTTATTCCGATACCCGCGGTTTGAAGTTCTAATGTGAGGGGGTGGGGGAAACTGCAACTTCCACGTCGGTAAATGTTGGCATTTTAAAAATCCGGTTTCCACTTGGCAAAACAAAAATACAATACATTATTCTAGACGCCACTGAAGCAGCAGCACACGGCCGTCGCGACGTCCGCATGACCGTGTCACTAGGTACTGTAAGTCTGTATATTATATAGGTCCCTACCTACTTAATCGATGTAAATTAATTAATAATTTATAATATATCAATACTCGCGTACCTACATAATAACATGCCTACCCGTCTGTGCATATATTATTAATAATAATAGTAATCTCATTAGTGTAGGTATGCAAAACAACAAGAACAATATAGTAATAATAATATGTATGTTTATGGTGTTTTTCAGACGCATAAAGTCCTATCCCGCAGAGTTTATCGTTCCTATAATACTGCACCTACCGGTACAACATATTAATTTGCATATGAGATGAAAACGGAAGAAAAATGAGATCACAGTGCACCACCACCGTCGTGCTGTTCTACTACTGCTGCTGTACGATCGCTGTGCTGCGCTTGACAGGCGCCGTGAAGCCGCGATACGAACGCGGACAGGACTACAACGCCGTCCATCCTTGCCAGAGAGAATGTCGCGAGGGCGAACCACCCAAAACGTGCGAGTACCGTTTCAAAGTGGAATGGTACTACACAATGAGCAAGGCGTGCTACGACTGTCCGTACAACATTACCGATTGTTACAGACCAGACTGTGTGCCGGCCGACGGCGTTGCGAAGCCCATTATCGTCATCAATAGAAGTCTGCCGGGACCTTCCATACAAGTAACGATAATAATAATGTCATATTATAATCCGATATATTATAAAAATATATCCTCTATTATGCGTATATAATATAATGATAATGTCATTATTCAATTATTGAGTATATACCCTCCCGAACTCACTTTCCCGGCCGTACTTGAAATGATATTATCATTATGTAGGAGGCACAGATATTATATTGTTCACGCGCGCGCCCTCCAATAAGCGACGGAAAAGTATAATAATAATAAGTACGGCTGCGGGTAAGGTAAGTTCGCGCGGCCAAACGTGCAGAGCGCACGACGTACGTTGTACCTACAACAGTGTGGTAGTTGGCAGTCGTCCGTTGTTTTCAATTTTCACAATGGTGCGCGATGTAGCAATGGGGAATTTTTTTTCGGGGACCTCGTCGTCACATAGCGGAAAAAAAACTACGACGAGAAAAGAAAAGATTTACGTTTACGCGTCCTTGGGCCGCCTGTAGCTATATATTATATTTATTATTATTATTATATTTATGTCGAGCACGAGGACCATACAATATATATTATTATAAATAATTATGATATTATTATTTTCCATTTACCGGTAGGCATACTCGGACGATAATAATATTATTGTCCATCAAAAACCATTGTATAATACCTATGCGTGGAGTCGGTGGAGTAAATGATTTTAAACGCGTTCTCGAGGCGTTTCTTTAAAGCACTTTAATACTGTTTACATACAATTCAGTATTAACCAATCATGTTCATCCCTCTTTTATTCCTAAATAATAAATGTATTATACTTTTTTATCTTTTATGGAGTGTATAGTGACTAATGGCGATGCGAACTTTGTTTTTTCAAACAAGAACCACCCTCTGTTATTACTGTATTTGCTATTAGGTAAAAGATATTTTTTTAAATTTGTAAGGATCTAAATAAAAGAGTGGTTTCTGAGTTATTATAATGTATTTACTAAGGACAGTGCTCCTAAAAAAAATACTTTGTTTAACAGTATACATGAAAAATAAAGATTTTTATTTGATAAAAGAAGTTTTTTCGGTATTTAGAACACTATATTTAAATCACATAAACTCATTAAAAAGGTCTTCAGCAACCTTATATACTTAAGGACCATATTTTAAAATACACAGAACTTGTCATAGATTATGTCTTGTGTGTGTGTCGACAAAAACTTCATTTTTTTCAAATAATAATCACCCTTTTTTCATGTAAATTATAAATTTTTAAAATGTTGATGTTATACGTACCTAGATCGATATTCGAACTTAATATTTTAAGTTACTTAACTTTGCGTACTTTAGATAATACGAGTAATATGTCCCTATAATAATGGAATTGGAAGAAATTGGCTATGATCATTACTCATTAGACAATTTTAGTAAGTAATTTATATTACAATTTATCAAAATTTTATAATATTTGTAAAATATTTTTCGAATACTTTTCATAATTTATAAATGTACTAAATCTACTAGTCAATATTACATAATACATTTTATATTTTTGTAAAACTATTTTTAAATACTATTATCCTTAGTATATATATTTTGAAAAACTACTCGTTCAAATGTTGTATTAGGTATAGATCAATGTTTTCAAAAAAATATTGTCGTTTAATCGTCGTCTATATCTATATATAGTCGACAATTGTCGGTTGGTTCTCATTTGAAAAAAAATAAGTTTGTATCGACACTGGACACTCTTTACAGGTTGGTACGTTACACGGTATAAGAACTGTAAATAATTGGAAATACAATTCTCAGGTATACTTAGAATGATCAAAAAATCGGAATTTCAATAAAGTTATTATTAGGGTTATTGGGTATTAAAATAAAAATATGGGGGGTGAGGGCATGCTTGGCGAATCGTCTTGTACAGATGCAGGTTAGTTACAACTACAGATCGTCATTTACGTGTTATAATTTAGATAGACAATTTAACCGGGTTTTCTAGGACAACGTTGTAACTTTTGCTCAATCGTACCTGATATACCTGATGGGTATACGCGTTATAATTGTGCACTGTCGAGATTTTATTTCCAAACTGCAGTTATGTACCTACCTGTATTATTATATTATGTACAGAGACGCGCACTAGTTCTTGGAAGCGACCGATGGCCAAATGACCAATGCAAATTTAAAATTATATTTTTTAACGTTAATCATTGTATTGCACTGTGACTGTGTTATTATTATTTGTGCATGGACGATTTGTTTAATAATTACAATTTTAAACACTCATTTTACTATTTACATTGAACCATTTCAAACGATTTAAATAGCAAAATATCGAAATCGTATAATATAATATACAACATAATATTATTCCGGCATTTTCCTACCTACCGATTTACACTGATGGCAATTATAGAGAATCGAGATGTCGAAACAGTGATTATTTTTAATTTTCGTTTACGGTCTTCAATACCGCTATGTTGCAACATAATATTATGTATAACACAATATTATGTCTGTAATTAAATACACGTGTACGTCTACCTACGCTGTACGTTTATACAATTATATTTATATTTGTTTTATGTACACTTTATTACAGGTACAGCGATATATTATGTACCATATAGACTATAGTAAAGTAAAGTTATGTTAACGAAACAGCGATGTATCGACTATTAACTTATGTAGAAATATGAGACAAGTGACGCAGGTAACTATATATAAGTATATAACGAGAATATAGGAATGTTTAATTATATTATTATTATTGTCGTGTCTGAGCAACAAAAATTTCCTATCCCACGGATGGGGAAAACAATACGAAACACTTTTCCCCGATGACGAATATTATATTATTGCAATATTTTAAGTACGCTGCACACCGTGTTACACTGACCGGCCATCAACTATAGTATCAGTAGTATCACTCACGAACGTACATATTATTTTAAATTCATTGATCACCATATGATATTTACATTGTAATTTAATTTTTTTTTTAAATATTGTCTAGTATAACTGTATAAGACATAAGAACACAATATGATATAAAAGTATGTAATAAGTTGATTTTTTTTTAAACAAAAATTTAGTTTTAAGGATATATATATACTTCATATGAATAAATATTAAATGCCATTTTCATACTAACAAGTTATGATTGAACTTTCAATAAATATTTGTTATAAAAAAATTCTCAAAAAAATACATTACTAGAAATAAAATTTCTTAAAAAAAAGACAAATCACCGGAAAAAATTTCATAAATATTCGGAATTGCTCAAATTCAAGTTGAACATAATTCACTATATTAGGTATGTTGCCACCATATTATATATTGGACGGAACAGTGCAGAAACGCATCCCAATCGCTGGAGACGAAAAAACTGAACTATCAAGTTTCGTGTTGTTTTCCATAATGTACTATGTACCTATTTAATAAAGATAAATGTAAAAAAATATTGGAAACATACGTATGCGGCAAAAATAAATCGTGAAAACTGAAAACGAGTGCCTAACCCGATTTATACTCCACATATGTCACATAACGTATAAGGAATATAAATCAACTCATAGAAAATGTATAACATGCGGCGTATGATATACAGTACGTCAGTACACATTCTATTATTATGTCAAACGTCAAAATCTCGAATTTTACGTCATCTAGTACTAAATATTGCAGATATATCCCCCTTAACATAGTTACATATAGTAACCTACATAACATAGTAAAACTAGCTGGATATCTCCAAACTCTTGTCTGTTCAGCCTGTATATATAAGGGGGCATTTGCCCCCTCCCCCAATCGTCGTAGTTTTCCTTTATTCTACCCTGTGTTTAGCCAATTTTAAAGCAACCTTTTGTATTTTTTGTACTTTTGCCCCCTCCAAATTAAGCCCTGGATCCTCCACTGTAAAATCTAACGATTGTGTGTCACGTTCCATAGGTGTGCTTGGGCGACACGGTCATGGTGGACGTGGAGAACGCCATGATGGAGGAGTCAACGTCAGTCCACTGGCACGGGCACCACCAGCGCAACTCACCGTACATGGACGGCGTGCCGTACGTGACACAGTGTCCGGTTCCTCCGCACAGTTCGTTCCGGTACGTGTACCTGGCTGACAACGAGGGCACGCACTTCTGGCACTCGCACTCCGGCTGCCAGCGGGGTGACGGAGCGTTCGGGTCGTTCGTGGTGCGAGCACCAAAATCGCGAGACGTGCACCGCGACATGTACGATGTGGACGTGCACCTCATCACGGTCACCGACTGGCTGCACGAGCTGGGCATCCGCAAGTTCCTCGCCCATTACCACGGTTCGGGCAACAACAAGCCCGAGACCATTCTGATAAACGGCCGCGGCCGTTACAAAGTCTTCGACGGCGGTTACCGCACGCCCCTGACACAGTTCAACGTGACCAGAGTGAGCATACCAAACTGACCACCTGCTATAATTTATAAACATCACTAATATATATACTATAGTGATTTCGCTTATCATCGTAAAAAAAATTAAATTTCCTATTTGTATAACTCGATTTTAACTACCTAGTTTATAATAAAGGGCCCGTACAAAATATTGTTAAGTATTTACCAGCAAAATATGTGTTAACTTTAATTCAATACATTTTCTTGGTACTATTAATTCGTTTTAATGGTTTTATCAACCAGCATATTATAATACTACATATGAAATTTAAATCAACTTAAATGTTAAATTTTTTAATATTTTTATTTTGTTTAGGGGAAACGATATAGGTTTAGACTGATTAACGCTGGATTCCTAAATTGTCCAATTTCAATGAGTATTGACAATCATACGTTTACTGTGATTGCAACAGATGGATATAACGTTCAACCAGTAGTAGGTGAATAATCTAGTTACACTCAAAAAATTTACTGAAACAATAACCCTATTCGAATCACACAAATAACTATAACAGTGATAATAATAATATGACGTACATGTTTACAGTCGATTCGTTTGTAAGTTATGCTGGTGAACGCTGGGATTTTGTTGTGGAAGCAACAGCTAATGTTGGCAATTATTGGATGCGATTTAGAGGCTTGATGGATTGCGATGAACGGTTCACCAAGGCCTTTGAAGTATCGATTTTGCATTATGACGGAGCTGGTGAAGAGGAACCAGAGGGCACACCAACATATGACAATACACTTCATTCCGGAATTGTAAATATAATGCACAGATAAAATATAATATCAATACCTACTTTTTTGTTTTATTATTATATTTGATACTTAATTAATGCATTCCAATACACAATGATTACAGCAATTGAATGCACTGAATAAAGGATCTGGGTTAATGGACACTGCTACTGTATCAGAATTAGAAGACGCAACACCCCCCAAAAACGACCTTCGTTTGGAGAAAAAACCAGATGTAACATTATTTATGTCATATGATTTTTATTCTTTAGATAATCCACATTTCCACAAACCTACGTTATATGGATTCAAACAAGGTTAATAATAATAATTGCATTCTAAGAACTAATGGAATACAATTGTTTTAGTGAAAACGGTTTAATAAATAAATATTTTTATATTTCTATGTTATAGTGACGCACAGGTCTGAACAAGTGTACACACCACAAATTAACAAAATGTCTTTCAAGCTTCCATCATTTCCTTTATTATCTCAAAGGAATATGATAGAACCTTGGATGAGTTGTGATAATATAAAGAAGGATTGTTCAAACGAATTCTGTGAGTGTACAAACATTATAAAAGTTCCTCTGGGGTCAATCGTTGAACTATTTCTCATTGATAAAGGTAAATAAAAATATTGGAAAAATTTTAGTACGTATTGGTACAATAGTAACTTACTATATACTCACTTATTAATTTGAAGGTGTGACATACAACGCAAATCATCCGTTTCATTTGCACGGACATCCGTTTAGAGTAGTAGCGATGGAAAGAGTTGGAAATCATACTACTGTAGAGGAGATAGAACAAATGGACAGAGATGGGCGCATTGTAAGAAATCTACGGACTGCACCTCTTAAAGACACCGTGACAGTACCAGATGGTGGATTTACAATATTACGATTCTTAGCCGACAATCCTGGTAAGTCATTAATGCAAGATCGAGTACATTTTTAAAACTCCAAAAATTGACAGTAAGTACCTAATGATTTTACATAATAGGTTATTGGTTATTTCATTGTCATATTGAGTTCCACGTTGAGGTGGGCATGGCAACTGTTTTCAAAATCGGCGAAGACTGGGAAATGCCCCCACCACCTCCAGGTTTTCCGAAATGTGGAAACTATAACGGAAAAGGATTAGTATCAATTTTGAATCCCGAAGAGATGGATTCGGTGTACCCAATGATTAACGGATCCAGTCAGAGTGATGGTTTGGATGACGTAGATATCGAAAGTCGTACTAATATGATATCGACATTAGGTAAATGGTGGCCATTTGTCGGAGGTGCGCATCCTTATGTAGCATCTGCTGCTAGTATTAACTCATCGTATTTTTCAATTTTAATGTGTATTGTGATAAGTTTTTTAGTTATTGAATGACGTCTAGTTATAATAAGTAATAAACTTATTGTTTATTGAATTGTGTATTATAAAATTTATAGTTATAATTGTGTATTAAATGTATTGTGAATTGTGATATGTATATATTATATTATAATATTATGAATAAAATAAATGTTTACTTTGATCGTTGTGAGTTATACTGTTTTATTGAAATTAGTTGATAGGACCTACTAATTACAATATGGGAAATCACTTATACATTTTTTACACTTTAATATAGTGAAGCTTCCAGCTATCGTCCCTATTTAAAATAATTCCTAAAATAATTATTTTATATTAGAATTGATATGGGTACACAAATTGATTTTAAATGTTTATGATAGAAATTCAAATTTATAATAAAATAAATATATCTATTATAACTTTTTTAATTATTTATGGTACATATATAGAACTTATTTGAATTTAAGTTCTGATAAGATTTTATGTCAAGTCAATTGGGGGCAGTGCCCACCAATAAATCAGATGACGTTAAAATAGTAGGAAATTGGAATTTGTAATTTTAACCTATTAATTTGCCCTATTCAACTCATCCAATGCATTTTAAAAATTATTTTTGAATAATGTTAATTTGAACCTAAATGAAGAAGTTTTCAAAATATGTAGGTCCCTATGGTCTATGTGTTATAGGTACCAAAAATAATTGTACCAACCATTCAGCCTTTATTTGTTAGATAGTGGTTATATTGAATAATTAGTAGATACCTACCTACCTACCTCGTACTTAAAATTTGGTCTCATAATTTATGATATTTTTGTATTAATAAATAATTTACTGTAAAATAAATTACTTCAACGATATAATGTATTTTGTCAATATATATTTTTTCTTCTACAATTATACTTGCTGACCTGCAATGCCAATAATGTTATCAAATAATTATTTAATTTTTGTTTTTATAAAAATTGAGTGTATTAATTATTTGTAAGTAGGTACCTAATGCATGAAGATAAAAAATCACTGCTGTAGTAGTAGCCAGTGTTGGCTGTAGATTGTAGGCAGTACACTATAGTACCGCTTCATTGAGTAGGTAACTGTAATGAACGAGTTAAAGTTGAATTAAATTACCTATCATTGCAGTGTATAATGAAAAACGATTCTGAGTGGAAATTGCCTATTTTTCTGAGGATATATATATATATTATATCTTAATAAATGTATACTGTTATTAGTATCTACCTACCTAATTATTTTTTTTTATTATTAAAACGCATGGCCAATACAAATTACACAGAGAAAACAATTATTTTGATATTATTTCATATAATATTACAAGCTGTTATTAACTTACAAGTCAATATACCATGGGTGGACGGGCTTGGGTGGCGAGTGGGAGATCCTCGCCTGGGTCTGGTGAACATTTTGGGCTACTTGAATGAATTTGGTTCGATAACCTATAAATATTTTATTATTAGCTCAAAATTGAGCCAAATTTTATATTTCCCAGTCTGTCCCTGCGATATACCTACCAGCAAGTACCTGGCTACCAATAACGATGTATCGTAGAACGGTGCAACTAGATTCGTGGTATAAAATATAAATAGTTTAAAATTATATAGCTATAGAGACATAATATAGTTTAATATTCCTACTTTAATCATTAGTCTATTCACTATTGTATGAACTATGAATACAGAATAGATACCGACTCATCAATCTGTTTATAGTCAATCTAGTCTGTACTGCGTGATTTTACACACTAATACATATTGATAGGCAATGCATAATATACTATACACAATATATTAATATCCACCTTGGATAATCCAAGGTAAATTTATAAATCCACCTTGGTTTATAATATATAACAATTTTAGATAACAATGGAGCTATAAGTACCTACCTACTTAATACTTATCATTAGTTTTGTCGATCCATGAGGATATTTTTAATTTTGAACACTTCAGCATTCTTATTCAGTTGTAGGTTTATCATTTTTTCAAGATCTTTATTCAGTTGATCTTTGTTCTTTGTTGAAATCAGATATTTCCGAATTTACAAAACCCCGAATACTTACTAGATGTGTAAGTATGTACCAATTCTTCTAAATAAAGATCTGCGATTTCTCCACTCTAAATAATTCAATATATATTTCCAATGCAGAGATTTAAGCATTTTGTAATTTTGAATTCTTGCGAAGTACCTAGGTAGTAGGTACTTAGTTAGTTTGTCAAATTATAATTTCAACATCTTCATCCGCTTCATTTGGGAAATGATTTTAATTCACCTGTTACGGGCTCACAGATTCCACCGAACTATTATTACCAGTATTGTAAAGAAATAAAGAATACTTTTATTTTGTATTCGAATAAAGGAGTATTAAAGTATTCCGAATACGTATTAAAATACGTTTAAAGTAATATTTTTTGAATACATTATATTTGATATTCGAATACGAATTACTATAAAAAGTATTCAAATACTTAATCCTATTCGAATATACTTTCCTCCACTAATATTTGTCAGTTTTGAATGGTTGGAAATTAACGAAGGTCAATCATATTTCATTTAAAGAGAAAAACCATCATTAATGCTTATAATGTGTCCGAATTGCATTAGATGTCACAAATTTGAACTATTTTTCGAGTTAAAAAAAGTAGGTATCTATTTTTTAATGAAAAAAAAATACAAAACAAAATTATTCAGAATACGTATTTGAATAATTGTTTTCAAAAAGTATTTAACAATTAAAATAGTATTCGAATAAAAATAAAGTATTTGAATACGTATACATTTATTCGAATAACTTACAGGCTTCTATTAACACTAACTCTGTGGTTATTCTCTCGAAATCTACCCCGCCAATTCGGCATGTTATAGGCCACAGGGAATTTCGTATTACATTTTAAGAAATATCATTTTTACTACCCTACCTAAAACGTGATGACAGATACAAATAAAATAATAATAAAAAAAAAACACATCATTGTAAGATCTATACCTACATACTCTGCTCAGAATCTAAAAGTTGAGCGTACAATCAATTAATTTTTTATGAGGGGGTCGAACTTATGTATATTCAAAGTTGTAACCTTTTAAAGATCGGGTTTTGCTTGTTTCAATTTCCTATACGTCCGTCACACAAAACGATGGGGGGGGGGGGGGTGTTGTAATTACTTTATTAACGGTATTTAAAATTTAAAAATACAATTTTGAAGTTTTTTGATTATAACTTCCAAAGAAAATTTGACCGATTTTTTTTGAAAGTAGCTACTATTATAATAAACACTCAATAACACAAATATTGAAAAAAAAAATCCACTAAATACTAAATAGCTTGAGAACTAAACTGAATTCGTTCCACCAGTTAGTGCGTATTGCTTCCATATGGGTTAAGTGAAATATATTAAATTGTATTCAGTACAACCAAATAATAGAAAATAACTTAGAGTTTTGTCTAATTTGTGATCTAAATCCTCTCTTATTTTCTTGTTTGGTATTAATCTATTCCTGACACATCCCATTAGAGATAGATAACGTTTTATAGTTAGGTACTACCACGTAACAATAATAATATGGTAACCTATATGGTAAAAATGATATTGTTATAAAATAAAACTATTGTATATTAAATTTAACAATATTGTATAAATTATAAATTTATAAATATTCAAACAATTAATTAAAATTTTGTTTTTATTTTAACAATATAGATTTAGAGAGATTGATTAACTCTGGATTTCTAAATTGTCCAATATCAATTTAGTATTGATATGAATGTTGAAACAAAGGATATAAAGTTCAACCAGTAGGTAGTAGATGAATAATTAAGTTACACATACAATATACTAAAATAATAACACTATTTACTTCATCACAAATTACTAACAATTTTAACAATATTTACATGTTAACAGTTGATTCATTTGTAAATTATGCTGGTGACCATTGAAATTCTGTAAAAGCAACAACTAATTGTTAGAAATAATTGGGTGCCATTTAGAGGATTATAAGACTGCGATTAACAGTTCACCAAAGGCAAATTTTGACATATGACGGAGCTGGTGACAAGGAACCATACATTTCATTCTGAAATTTTTAATATAATGCACAATTAAAATACAATATTAATAGTTTTTTGTTTTATACTATAAAAATTGATTAAAGCAATTGATATAAATAATCTCTGTATACTATTTTTAGCACAATAAGCTTATATGATAAAAGTAAAATATAATAACATGAATGTTATGAATAAGCTGCCACCCATTAGATATTATATTTAAACTTTTAGCTTATTGCTTGTATTATTATTTGAACATAAAAAAGTAATGTAACGTGATAAAAATAATTTTGGGGAACGCAATTGTAATTTAAATAAAAATATTTGAAGTAACGAGTTATGTAATTTCATTACTTTTTAAAAGTAATTTACCCAACTCTGACATTAATAAAATAGATGTTTACCATAAATCATAACAGTTATTCTTTATTCTGAAGTTGTTGATGAAATTTCTGATTGTTGGATTCTTTTTTCATGTTCTTCTAGTTCAGGTGGTTTATCATACTTGAATATCCGAGATGTTTTTTGTTCCTTAACAAAATATCTGCAACAGATACAAATATGGTTGAGTGTTATTTTTTTCAATTTATATCTATACATACAAGTCTCTTTCTATTTGACTTTGGCTCTGCCATTCTTTTAGTTCATCCATAGTAAAAGAAGAAAATTTTAATATTAATAATGTACAACTTCCAGCAATGACACCTAAAATAGCTCCTGAAATAAACATATGTATATCAGTATATTTAATATATTTAATTTTTTTTCTCAAAGGGCTAATTCTCACAATTGCAATAAATAAATAAATACATACATTTAGGGGAAGAGTTATCATTTTTTTTGAAACTATGATATTTAATTTTAAAAATAAATTTATTTGGCTTTTTTTAAATAACATAACACAATACAACATTAATTTTTATCTAGGTTGTCTCATTTAAACTAAGTTTTTGTGTTAGTTTTTATGTTTTTTTTTTTTTACAATGTATTAATACTCAACAGTGTTTTTGTTGTATTCGATTTTAATTTGTTACATAGGTTTTTTCAATAGTTGATTAAAAATAATAGAAAATACTTAGTTTGGTTGTTGAAAAATGTGTTTTTTCTAACTTTGGCATGGTAAATTAACAGCAAGGGCGAGCCGTCAGGGGTAACTTTGTGACTGTGTCTCCCCTTAAAACAAACCAGCTACTTGTAAATAATAATTAATTGAAAATAAAAATGTATAGAAGTATTTTTATCTGAATTCAAAATATATTATATCGTTTTCTTTGATTATTATCATTGAATGCCACAAAACCTATAAATACTTATTTCGATGATAATATTATTATTTTAGTAATTTGGACAATGGTCTCCAATTAAGTGAAACTGTCGCTTGACAGTTTTAATCGTAATATACTAATATGTAATGTTATCACTAGATGGATGGAGTGGGCCGGGAGAATAAGCCGTATTAATTGCACTATTGAAACTGGGTTCACGTCAATATATGCCGTGTCGCTGGTTAGTTAATCACTGGACTTACGCCGATTATTTCATTTAATAATTGTAGAAGCTAATAAAAATCTCCACAGAATATTTACTCACGATCCCCCCCCCCCCCCATTGATTAACGGGCTGTATCATACTTTTCTTGTTTGAAATATTAATAAAATGATGTGACGGATAAGTAGATTAGAGGTATATGTTACACGCCAATATTCCTGAATGTTTTTGTATTATTTAAATTATCCATATCATGTATTATGTAAAATGTTATCAAAAATACTTACCCAATGTAGCTCCAACAAGAAAACCTTTCATACCAAAACTTATTCTTGCAATTCCACCAACTACAAAACCAGCTGTTGCATAACTAATTACAGTAACCTTTTGTGTATACGCATTTACAGCAGTTACTATAGTTCTGAAAATGAAAATAATGAAAGATATTAATTATAACATTATATGCCAATAGTAAATATGTTACTTTTCTACTATAAAAATTATAACCATGCCTTTTTTTTTTTTTGTTCTTACATTATGTAAACATTATAATTTATAAATGAACTAATTATTTAGTAAACTATATTGTGTATTGTAATCAATTTTAGAATATAAAAAAAAATATTTATTTTATAATGTATAATGCAAATTATGTTTAAGGGGGCTGCAGCAGGTTTTGTCAAAGTCAGAACTAAAGTAGATTTGACCAATCTAAACATTAATTTTGTTTGTTATAATGTTTTTCAATATATTTAAATTTGGTATCATAAAATAAACCTGAAGGCGGCTGGAGGGGGCTCCAGTCAATGAAAAAAAAAAGTGACTTTTTGACCAATAAGCTAGGCAAAACTGGAAGAATTTGGTTTGACAGATTTTAATTTTAAAAACGGATAATGATTGATCAGCAAGGGAATGATCGAGGCGATTTAGAATATTCCAATTCTTGTTAATGTCATTATGAATAATATAAATACAAAAATATCATGTTTTTTCGATATTTTTATTTATGGATATCACAGCTGAAAAAAAATATTCAAAATCGCCTCGATCATTTATTAGTAAACTTGTTGATCAATCATAATCTGTTTTCAAAATTAAAATTTGTCAAATCAAATTCTTCCAGTTTTGTCTAGCTTATTGGTCTAAAAGTCACTTTTTTTCATCGGCTGCAGCGCCCTTAAGGTACAAGGTGCACTCAGCATTATTTTTTTCTCAAACAAACAAATTTTTGTTGATTTTTATAATCAATCCTCTGCTCCTATTTTCTGACTAAAATGTTCAATTTTCTACTTCCTTTTAGAATTTTTTTCAGCCAACTACAACCTAACTTTTGAAAATTTGCATTTTCAAAAATTAATTGACATAAATAGTGTCCAACAACATATGAAAAAAACAATAATTACTAAGGGTGGTCAGGTTTTTTTTTTATATTTGAGATATTAAATTTGGGAGCAATCATAATTTATTATATTTGAAAAACAAGTTATAATTAAGACATTTTTTTTTTTTCAGAAATTTTAATAAACAATATTATATTATACAGACTATGAAAACTTACGTAAAAGTTCCGCAGAATATTGCTACTCTGGTTCCCCATTTAAAGACGCCTCTTGCCATGGCCAATGTAACTTGAGATTGTAGTTTAGCCTAAAAATTAATGGGCATAAATATTTGATTTCATAGTTTGAATTTAGATGATTGTAAATAATATGACTTTAAACTTGATACTTTGGCTTCAAACTGATTTTGAAACAGTGTTGATTGGTTCTTCTGGAAAAAATCCTCATAAGCCCGTTTACTGTATGATAAGCTTCCATACACACCGCCCATCAAACTGCTGTAACATATTGTTGAAAATATAGCTCTTACATCTGGAGACGGATTACCATCTTCGCTGAAAACAAATACAAATTTTAATATCACCAAATGGTCCAATTGAAGTTGGTTTTAATTTATTAGACATTTAGGTAGTCCTACTCGGTGGAAAACGCGTTCACAACACCTTGCCAACCACCGACTTTTTTCATATCTAAGACTTCAGTTCCTTCTTCATCATGTTCATTTTTATTCAAGAAAAAGGCCGGTAAAAAACATCGTGTATGTGATAGTTTTAAACGTCTAAAAAACATTGTTTTAATACATTTATACTATACAATTACTTAAAAATATGGACAATATGGTGTTGAATTATAAATCTTATTAAAATTTAAAAACGATATATTATTAAAAGCACGCGGACTAACAATTACAAATTTACAAACCGGTAGATTATTAATTTAATGAAAAATAAAAATCAAGCAAACCCAATTCACGGTCCATTGATTATGTTATCACTAATTAATGTATTATCATTGCTTATCATTATCATTTAGGGTGACGTTCATCTAGATCTTCAGTCAACTTGGTCCAAGAAGTATGTATAAAATGTTCTTAGATTATTAGGTTAAATTTTTGATTGAGACAATGGTGAATGGACCAAAATGGCTAAATACGTGTAAACACGGGGCACGGACTAAGATAAAAGTATAAAACTAGTATATATATTACAAATGTTCAATCAACGGGTCACATATTTGAGTTAATATTTGAGCGATACCAAAATATAATTTATCTAAATATAATTTTTTTTTTAAAACAAAATAATCTTTATTTTAAAAAAAATAGTTACCAAAAAAATAATATTTCTAATTAAAGCACCACTTTTTTTAAAGTAAAAAATATATATATAGACAGTTATTAAAGAATTGAAACAGTTTTTAAAGCGACGTTTATGATGATTAGATTTTAAAAAGGAAGGACCTAATTTTGACGCCTGAAACTGCTCTATACTAATTGATTAAATGGCGCTCTATACGTTTATAGGAAACTAATTTGGAAAATGTTACTTTTTTCGAATTATATTTTAAAGGCAGTTTTAGGACATTTTTGTGTGTTTTTAAGCCATCAACATGCGAACTCTAATAATAACTACCTATATTATGTAGGTAATTAATTATTTTTAAAGCACAAGTACTCACAAATTCGAGATTGAGGGTTTTAAGTGGTTGTATAATAAATTACACAAAATGCATTTAAAAACTGTTTTAAAAAATGTGTGCATTATACTGTTCTATGATTATACGTTTTTATTATTATTTTCATACCGCCAAAAATTCGTATTTATTATCATAACAAATTTTTCTCTTGCTCGAATTCTAGTTTTTTATCCTTTGGAAGCTTCTCTGAAGGAACTCTGTTCTGAACTCACGAATCACGATGTACCAGTACCAGTAGCGTATCCAGAATTTTTTTTCGGGAGGGGTTATAATTTTTTTTTTGTGGAATCTTATCTTAAAATGATTTATTAATGAAAACGTTGTTATAATTTAACAATTTTCGGGGGGGGGGGGGGGGGGGGGGGGTTACAACCCCCTAACCCCCCCCCCCCCCTGGATACGCCACTGACCAGTACTATTTAAGATAAATTATATTGATATTATGTATTATCTACATTCTACATTCTACATCGTGATTCGTGGTTAAATTATAAATTGTTCCTACCGGGTTGTTACAAGATGCGAGTGGTAATAATATTATGATTAATATCTATATCTATTTTGATCTTTATGAATTATGAACCAACTGACGCATGTCCGTATACCAGACGGTTAAACATTTTATAATCGAGATTATATACATAATCGCTTATCAGTTTCAAAAACATGTGTGATACCATGATACTGTTAAATGAAAAAACAAAATAGTTTTGAATAGATATTTACTATATTTTATTAAAATGTAAATATTATTCTTTAATCTGTAGACTGTAACATTATATTATTTACTATGTTACCTCAAGAACGTTTATGATTATCATTGGAGCTTGAGTATTTATATAATAATATTTAGACATTCCAAACATCTTTTTACTTGATAGTTTTTAATCAGAGTTGAACAGTTAATAAAGTTCACTATTATAATATTATAATAATGACATAGGTAAACATGGCAAAGTCTCAAGAAGAAATCGTTCGTATATTTTTTAACCATTTATCAAGATCCAGTTATGATGATGCAAAAGAGTTTATGGTAATTTTACTGTAAATATAATTTAATGTTAAGTATATTATATGTAGGTACTATTTAATAATTTATTTTCAGGAGAAACAGCGTTTAGTATACCTAAACAATGCTTGGCCCAAGGCAATGTTTGATATTCTATGTGATTTTGCTTTGGCTGAAAAGAATTACTATGATACCAATTTTGAACCTGCAAAAATTAAAATGGTTGAGCGAAAAGAAAACGAGGTAATTATCTATTTATAATAATTGACATATTATTGGGCTTATTAATTTTTCACATATTTTTCATTGCAGAACTATCTGGACTTTGTGTACAAGACCTTGTTTCAAGACCTCGAAAAACTCCAGACTGAGGTTGATGATAACTATGTTACAAAATTTATGACTACGCTTCTACAGTTTATATCTGTTAGACTCCAACTTCTTGAACTATATGATAAATTATATGAAATCGGAACATTGAACAGTTTGATTAATTTTAGAGAGTTATCTGAAATTGTTGAAAATATTCAGAATGATCTTATCAATTTTTCACCTGTTGATCAAGTATTAAGGATTGTACGGTAAATAAACATTTTAATGTTAAATTATATAAATTTAAATAAATTAAGTTAAGCAGATTTTAGCTTAACATGTTTGGTTTTCATAAAATACACAATAACAGGTTATGACAAAATAGTTTAAGCTTTTCATATTTTTAACTATTCTATTAACAATATGATAATAGTAACAACTTAACTATATTGTCATTAAGTCTGAAATATGAATAACAGTTACCTATACTAATATATTATGTATACAATATTTTTATTAGAAACATTTGACTACTAATATAAACTGTTCTAATATCCTTTGAATACCTACTTAATCTGTAAATTAAAAATTTATTTTACAGGTATGAGCTGGATTGCATTCAACATTTATTCAAGTGTCATGAACATTTAGGAGATTGGTCATATTTTAATTCATTGATTAGCTTAAAGGAAAGTAGTGATGCATTTATTGCTTGGGAAAAATGTTATCAAAACCAAGAGGTAAAATGTAATATTAATTATAAATAATAAAAATGCATAGACGTAGTGCTCTAGGGGTATGCGGGAAAGTCCATTTATGCACCATTATTGAAAGGAATTCTAGCATTGGAAATATTTAAACCGAGGTACAATACAAACTGATGATATCTTTGTGCAACAAAATAGTTGTATAATGTTGTCATAAGAGGAATTATAGAGATGTGCAATTGTCATAACAACTGCTCTTAAAAAATACATTGTTAGTTATTTTTATTTCATCAAAATAGCCAAGTTTAAATATTATGCAAACATAAGATGGATGAAAAATTATAAAAGAGATTTCAATTTTATATGTAGTTGAACATTTGGGGAGTGACAAATTAAAATCAGACTAACCTGCCATTTTCATCAAGAATGTATGACCGAGATGATTCTAATGAGCAATACAGCTCTGAAACTTACAAAAGTGTTGTGAACATACTATAGATTGGTAAAATGTAAATTATATGACGTTTTAATATGTACATTTTTTTCTTAAATCACTCAATCTTAATAAACATAAAATTTTGTTTTCAATAATTATCTTTGGAAATAGATATTTAACAAGTTCAACTTATGAGTTCAATTAGTTTAAAAACCTCATGCTGGTAAAACGTCAACTTGAACTTAATAATAAACTAATATTTTTTTATAAAAAGTTATTCAAAAAAATAATACATTAATGACAATAAATAGCCAAACATAAATTGTGAATTAATTACTGCAATAAATAGTATTGTTATTATCTGAATCAGATGATGACTACTGTCCACTGCTATATAGTATGTATCATAAGTTTAAACTTTGAAATTGAATTCATTAAATACATTTATTTTATTATTATTTTACACAGTTAAATATACTTAAATAATTAAAAGCATATTAGAATTCATAATTTGACATGTAATTTTGATTTTTAGGGTTGGAGATTTAGCTCATTGTTTAAGAGCAAAAGTACGTTACCTCCATTGCTTTTATGGTTCCAAAGATTCAAACACATGACAATTTCTAAATATATGTTGTATTTTTATGGAATTCTTATACGACAATCATCATTGCGTGAAGTCAAGAATACATGTGAAACCAAAAATTTACATTTTTTTACAAAGTATGATCAGTTTAAAAATATTAATTTTTTTTGTTATTAATGGTTAAAATATGGTTTAAATAATTATATATAAATATATTTTAATCAATAGTAAAGAAAAAATAAGTATACTCACTGATTGTTTAGTGTATATGTGTTCTTAGGATGCAACAATTAAAGCAGAAGGCAGAGGCTTTATCTGCAATATTGGTGTATGAAACCCCCGATTATCCTTCTGATAATGTCTCTTGTAATGAGGGTTCACCTACTCCACCTATAACTAAAATGGATCCATATTTTAAGTATAAAGTTATGATCAGTTATCCAAAGGTACTAAAATGAATATGTTTATTAAATTGTTAATTTATTAAATTAGTAATTATTATTAAATTTAATTTAGGTCCCAGTTAAATTTGATGTGGTAGAAAAGATAAGAATTAACGAAGAAGAAAACTCCGTAAATAAAATTGAAATGATTACAGATGAAAATGTAAGTTTTTGTGTTCGTCAATAATGTTTTTAATGCATGATTCATAAATAGGTAATTTAACGAATAAAATAAATTATTCTATACTCTATTCAAAATAAGAAACGCATATGGCGGCCAACGACTCATGAGCAGGGGCATGTGCCATGTTAATACAACATGGCAAGTATATAGATTGTTTAAAAACGGGTGTTACCCAACTGCCGCCGACAAAAACTGGTCGCTGCCATATGCGTTTCTTATTTTGAACACTATAATATGCAACTATAAAACATAGTATAAATGGGAGGATATATTATTGTCACCAAGTCAAAAGCGTTAATCAAATGTTGTATTATTATTTATTATCTTACATTTTTAAGTGAATATAAATCATTTTACCCTACAATTTAAGAGATATGTTCAAAATATAATTTGTTTTCAATTTGTAATACATGCATTTAAAGTTTAAAAAAATAAGTATTACCTATTTGTTTATAAAAAAAATTGTTATACCAATAGTTTCCTACTTGAAAATTTAAAATATAATTTTTACAAAACCACAAAGTAAATATCCTTTTTAGTTTTTTTAAATCTATTTTATATTTACAATATAAATTAAATTTACTACATTAATACTAATTGATTAAAACAAGGTAATTTTTTTTTCAGATCACTTATATGTTAATGAGAGTGGACTTGAAAGTAATTTTTATCATGTGTTTTAATGGCAAACCTAAAAATGAAGAAAGGGAGAAAGCAAGCATATTAGAATTTGTTTCAATGCTTCGATGTCATAGATATTTTACTTCTGTTAATAGATAAATATACTTTACAAAGATTACCTTTAATTTTATATTCTTAATACTTAATAATTTATTAATTTGTGTATGATGTTTGTTTATTAAACTATTAAAGTATATGAATAACTGGTTATATTTTGCCATTTTTCACTTTTCACATTTTTTTTTATAAAAATATCACATATTATTTGGGACTTGGGAGTATAGGTATAGGATAGAGATAGTTTATCCAAAGATATTCTAGCTTGTAATCTAAGAGAAGTGAGAACTAAAATGTACTATAAAACTAAAGATATCAACTATAATAGTTTATAATAATGAAATAGACAGTATCATAAAATAGTTTTCAGTTTGGTAATGCCGGTACTCAGTTTTAATTTTTTTTAATTTTTACTTATTTTAGTGATTTTAGTTGATTCTTGATTCCAAATCTGTATATTTTTACCTACTTTGACACATAAAAATGGAATTTTGGACGAGTAATTTTTAAGTATTTAAAGCTTAGACAAGTTGAGTGAAGTGGTACCTCTGGTAATTTACAAAATGTTGCTACACTAGTACACTGCTGGACGCTGGTCTAAACTTAAATCAGTTAAAAAAGCTCACTTGTGCTAAATTACCAGTTTCTAAACTTATATTAGTACAATGAAATAAACTATAATTCTATAAATAAATTAAAAATAATTTGGTAACTTTTATATTTTGGTACCCTTGTACCAACATTTTAAGTTTCTAAAAGTAAATTTAGAACACCTTATATAGGTATAGGTATCCTCGTTATGGCGTTGCATCAGTTAGTTACAATTTTTAATATTAAGATATTTATTCATTATTGTTTGTAATTAGGTAATTTACATAATTACAATTGTTTGTATTAAGATATTTAGATTTTAGTTACGGTTGTTGATTCAAGTATATACTTGGTGTACTTTTATTTATTATAGATTCAAACTACAAAATATACTACCAAAATGTGTGCTGATTTGTGAGTGTAGTTCTCCACATGTTAAACTAGTTTTGGATTTTATTAAGGTGTGTTCGCAGTGCTTCAGAGGCTCTGGTTAGGTGGAAATTTGTTGACATTTTAGCTGTATCGTCAGCAAAGGTAGCAAGAGTGGTGTTCTTGGAGTGAAAAATATCGGATGTAAATACGTTGAAAAGTGTTGGAGCTAAAATACTACCCTGAGAAACTGTTGCTTTAGGAAAGTGCTTGACATTTTATCATAGACTTTTCTCCAAATCGGTCTTGATATAATTATAATTTATAACTTATAAAATATCAATTTACTTCTGAATAAAAACTATAAAATATGTCCTAAATATTATTTTCTACAGCTTGCAGGTAACAGCTAAATTAAAATATTTATTATTTATTACAAACGTATTCCAATAAGAATAAAGTTAGTGAGCTTGTTTTTGAATAAAATATAATATCGTTAAAATTAGGTTCCTATTTATTGGATTCCATAACTTGTTGACGTCGTTGAACATAAAATATCACCTATAATAATATTATGTACGACTACAAAAACAAGGAATCTTAGTTAACATTTAACACAACGCATTTAAATATTTACATTATACATATTTTTATATAAATCGTGATCACACTATAAAACAATATTGGATAAAATAAAAATCTAATACATTTAGCTAAATATTAGGAAGTATAGGGTTATAGTTATCCGCAATGATCTTATAACAAGTTGTTGATTTAGTTGAGAATAAATCAAAATTATAACAATTATGAATGATTAAAATATCAAGAAAACTTAAGATATTGAATTTACGTAGGTACCACAAAATAAACAATCTTCATTATATACAGGGTGTCCCGTGAGGATTTACCTATTAGCCGTAGAGGGGGACTCGCCTCCCGGACAAAAACCGGTTTTTTGCCGTTTTACTTATTAATTAAAAAAATTATTAAAAATCAGGAAATTAATGAAATTAAAATGTTGAAACGTCAATATTTTCAGAAAAATGAACTCTACAAAATGGCAATCTTCAATATTTTTTTAAATAATTAATTAAAAAAATAATTTGTTTAACTTTTTTACCAAAACACAGTGGAAATGTAGAATCTGGATAAGACGAAATTCAAGGGAAAATAATTTTTTCGACTTATCTAGGTATTCGACTTACTAATGTTAGGTTAGGTTAGATTAGGCAATGTAATGGCAATGGTTTCGACTCATTAAGACTTTTAACTTATCGAGGTTCCACTGTAGTTAAAATTAACAATACGGAATCACTGTATGAGAGGGGATGGGAGGATTGTGCAGACGTTCAGGCCAGTCTCCCACTATGATCAAAGCTGGGTAATTTAATAGTATTTTAAAGAAATTACTTTTTTTGGTTAACTTATGTACTCAGTTAATACACAATTCTTTTTTTGTTTATAACACTATAGATAGGTCATAGGTACATAATATACTATGTTTGATTTTTTTATCAATTCAAAACTGATTTTACAGGGGGACGGAGTGGCCGAGTTGACTAAGGCGTCGGCTGCGACGCAGCCGACGCTGGTTAAATACCTGGGCCACGGGAGGCATTTTTCTTCGCACGAGTCACAATGTCCGGAGAATAAGTACCGCCATCCCCCACCCGGGCAGATACCTATACGGATGCTTAAATCAAAAATTCTGCCAAAACAAACACACACGTGTAAACAAAGCTACAGTAGCACAAGCTAATAACCAAGTAGTTGAATAAAAATAAAAAAAAGAAATGATTCTACAGTTAACTTAATAGTTTTTTTAAAGAAATTACATTTTTGGTTAACTTATTAGGTACCTAGTTAATACACAATTATTTTTTATTTATAACACTATACATATAATATACCTACATAATATATTATTTTTGATTTTTTTATCAATTCAAAACTATATAATGATCTTACAGTATTTATATAGCCATATAGGTATAACAGTGGAGTAGATAGATTTCTGTAAGGGGGGATCAAAAAAAAAAAATAACACAGCTAAACGGGAGGAGAAAATTGGAAAATCCCCCACCCTCTCAAAACTTTTTAGTAAGGCAAAAAAAAGCCAATGGGGAGGATCTGACCCCCCCCCCTTGTCTACGCCACTGAGGTATAGTATACTTCATTGAAGTTTCTCGGTTTTTCAGTAAACCTGTCAGGCATTATCCAGCATACACTTCATTATACAACATATTATTACTATGAGTATATTATAACTATAACAAATTCGTTATCATCATTAATTTCATAAAATATATGACTTAAATCCTACCTATCGATTAAAAAGAAAATATTGCAGTAACCCAATAAACTAAAATAATATATTTAATATTTATACATGAACATAAAAAAAAGAACACTCTGGTTCTAACATTGTATGTCTGTATGATCTCCTGCAGTCCTGCCTCATATTATTATAAAATCATTGTTTATTTGTATTGTTTGTTATATTAAAAAATGATTTATTTTCTCAGTATGCTGACTCACAGAGATTTAGAATCTCCTTTTAATAAATAAAAATTATCTTTAAGTGTAAACAACAATTTATTTTTATCTTTTTAAGCATATTATAACGATCATTTAACATCAGCCACTGTCAACTATAGTAGTTGGTACCTACCTACACCGCTATACTAAGTACCTATAATTAAGCTTAAACATATTTTAATATACAGGCGAGTCTAGATAACTCGAGTCTCAAGGGGAATAAAAATAAATTCGAAATAAGTATTTCGCGCGTATTAATGGTATAGTTACCTTTATGTTCATTATTATAGCAGGTGTACTGTATATAGTGTTAACTGTTAGGTGCATCGTACATAATGTTATTTGGTAGAATAAGTGTAATGAGCAAAAATATTTAAACTCCAGTCATAATAGTGCTATGGAAAATTAAGAAAAATCGTTGTTCTCGTAATGATTATTCGTCAACAATAACCATGGTCTGTAACAATATGTAAGATAAGGAACTCGCAACCATGGTAGTCTAGATAAGGAACACCACTGGACAATTATACGCGAAAAAACATTAAAGAGTACCTACGAAAGAGTTTGAACTTTGAATGTTGGTGGTACAATGTATGGACTTGTACTTCCTATATTATACAGTTATTACTATTATCGCCGTTCATGAAATACAATTGTTTGGTTTTAAAGCTAATCTCCAGCGTTCATTTAGATTTTTTCAGTTTTCTGTTTTTCAGTGCACCGAAGTTCACCATATTATCATATGGAGTGAGTCCACTGAGTTCATATACTCCAGTGGGCAGTGTCGGATAGTAACTGGATACGATACGTTGGAGTACCTACGTAAGTACCTATAAATCCATAATATAATATAATATATTAATATGTATTATAATATAGTTTTTTCTTCTCTGTAAAACTTTTTTTTTTTATTTATTGATCTCAAGCCCGGTGACTATGGCATTTGTAGGGGGTAGGGTTGGTTCGGAGCACGTCCATGTGTGGCGAAGATTTGTTATACTTAAACCAGAGTGGTAACCCATCCGCTGGAACTATAGTGGACTCAGAACACGTTTTGTGACTGAGGACAACCACCACGCCACATCAGCAGCTGCAGGCTGTTTACCTTTGTAAAACTTATAATATTATTATTAATATTTATTATAACTATTGTTATTATTATTTGTGAGTGAATGGGTTATTGCATGTGGCATGCCGCAGCCTCAATAAACGGCTGCTTATAAGAAATCATTTTGATAAAATATATAATTTATAAATTATAGGTAGGCACCTACCTCTTTAAAAAAAAAAAAAGAAACTAAGTACCTATTGCTTTTTATCTTCATTTAAACTTCTACTTTTATTATACTTTTTCATTATTTATTCAAGTATGATTATTTTTATTGGTGCTAAAAAAGAGTTCACACAACAATGCTCATCAAAAAGTGTACAATTAAATGAGAGAATAATAATCCTATCCATGATATTATGCAAAATAAATAAATATTAAATAATATGTTTGACAAACATATTATAAACTACTTATTTGTACTTATTATTATGATTTATGACTTATGGTTTGTTGGTGTTGCATTAATCATTAAAATATTACAAAACTTGACATTTTATCATAGACTTTTGTTCAAATCGGTCTTGATACAATTATAGTTTATAATTTATAAGATATCAGTTTACTTCTGATCAAAAACTATAAAATATGTCCTAAATATTATTTTATAAAACTTGCACTATTCTTTTAGCCTTAAGTTTAGATGACCAATTGTCAGGAAAACTTTATAAATAAAAAAAAAAAAAAAAAAAAAAAATACAACTTGCAGGTAATAGGTAAAATAAAATATTTATTATAACAAAGGTACCTATTCCAATAATAATAAAACCTCGTTAGTGAGCTTGTTTTTGAATAAAATATAATATCGTTAAAATTAGGTTTCTATTTATTAGATTCCATAACTTGTTGACGTCGTTGAATATAAAACAGCACCTATAATAATATTATGCACGACTACAAAAACAATTAATCTTAGTTAAAATTTAACACAACAAATTGAAAAATGTACATTATACATATTTTTATATAAAACAATATAGTATAAAATAAAAATCTAATACATTTAGCTAAATATTAGGAAGTATAGGGTTATAGTTATCCGTAATGATCTTATAATAACAAGTTGTTGTTTTAGTTGAGAATAAATCAAAATTATAACAATTATGAATGATTAAAATATCAAGGAAACTTAGGTAGGATTGTCGTTGGATTGGTGTCGAACGAGTTGATCGAACGTTGAATCGGAAAGAGCATTTCACAATTAAATAGGTAGGTAATATATTATTATTTATTATACTTAGGAAATTGGTTAAAAATGTTTGGTTTTTATTTTAAATAGTTAATTTTTATCTTTATTCTATAAACTTGAAATGTTCATTGTAAAATTCCAATTTTTCTTATAATCTTTTTTCTATAAGGAATTACGTCTTCTACGAAGTCGTCAGAATGTTCCTTTATGAATATTTGTGCATTGTCAGAATTTGTAGGGCAACCTGTAAAAAACAAATATAAGCTATAAGTATACTAAAAAAATTTAATATTTTTTTAATATTTGCACATTTGATACACGCACCGATTATATCTCGTAAAAATTGTACTACTAGACTACTCTGTAGATATAATGCGGTTTTAGCATCCAACTTCTTCAGCATTTGCACGTCTAACCAGTAACCATGTATGAAAGGTGTATCTGTCGGACTTTCGTGAGTGGTATTTTTTATTGTGTATAGTTTCCGAATACCTTTGGAACAGAAATACTGGCGAATCAATCTTAGATTGACAGCAATGTGGAAGGTGTGTGTGTTGATGAACAAAATTGGTTGTTGAATATTCAAAAATGGCTCTGATTTTAACGGAAACATCCAACCGTCGATAATTATAGCAACACTATATTGAAACAAGTAATATGTATTTATATTTTTAACACTAAAAAAACAATTAATATATGCAATTAAGTAAAATATACGCGCATTGTACCTACCTAATTTTGAGTTATATTTAAAAATTTGTAAATAAATCATAATTTAATTATTAGGTACTTAATAATAGCATGTATTAAGATTTTAAATTGTTTATTGCTAATATATTGATCATTATATTTTATTATTTGTTTGAGCTAATGAGCTATTGAGAACTAACTTATCTATAACGGGCTATACTTAACTAAAACGTATTTTTTCTATTTTTATATTACACCTACTTACTAAGCTCATATTTTTGGATTTAGAATATATTTCGTGATCCTAGATTAAAATATAGTTTAAGATAAAAATTATGTCTATAATAATAATTATAACAGTATAGATAAATAAATGAAATTGAATGATGGATTTTTTTTGTAGTAATTTATACCTATACAATACTCACTACTTAGGTAGGCACTACGTAGAAATACACTTACTGATAACGATTGTCATAACATGCATTATACATTGCGGTTGCTCCGCCAAACGAAAATCCAGATGTTATTATTTTGTTAACATTAATCTTGCCCTAATTATACACAAATTACAATAATTATTACACTATAAAATATGATATACCCATTTAAAAATGTAATAATAATGATTAGGAGAGTAAATTTGTGTTTGTGGAAATGCATAATTCTGTACCTATAGATAGGTACTATAGTAGGCACAGGCTGCATTGTTACTGCAGTTACAACATCTATAAAATATTAATACTATATACACTAGCAGCCATGCCCAACTCATAATAAAGTAATTAGTAGGTACTTACATTGAATTGATTCAGATCAAACGATGACTTGAGTACGTTCTTCACGGAACGGCCTGCATTGATGTCTAAAAATGTGTTCAGAAGTTTGGTGCATTCTCTATGCCGAACTTTTAACTAAATTAACATACCAAAGGTTTGGGTTTTACGTTGTAGAAAATGTCTTTAGAATTTTTTAATGTACGATGATATTATATAATATAACAGTACTTGGCTATTTTTTAGGAGATAATTATCCGTGTTGTAGGTCTCATGGAAATGTCGATAGTTGACCCACGTGGGTTTGTCCTGCTCTGCGCTTTCAGGAGAATCATAGTAATACGTAAGAGGCGATGATTTGTCTCTAAACTCAAGATAAAATATCACGGTGTTAAACAAAATGTGTTATAACAAGATGATTAGCAAAATATATAAAAAGATAAACGCACTCGACTTTTTTGTGTTTAAATTTTAAAAACACTAAAATTTACTTTGTAATACCTAAGTGTTTACCTACTGTTAAATGAATCACTTAATCCACAAACGTCGTGGGAATCTTACTTGAAAAAAACGTTTGAAAGGGCTATCAGGTGTTCCAATTGGATATTTATTAACTTTTTTTCATATTTCCAACGATTCATGAGTTTTAGAGCCTTAACAATGCGTTACGATAATTGTTATAAGTTATAACTAACCTGTGTTCAATGGCAGCGACTATAAATCCGTGCGACGCTAAAGTGTTACAAAATTCTGAGCAAACAAATCTCGTTGCTGCATAACCGTGTGAAAATATGACAAAGGGATACGATTGTTCTTTATCCGATAGCGGTGCATCACTAATGGTTGGTATGTAATATGGTGCTGTAACGCCAAAATGAAAAATATTATTTTAATATAATTTTTTGACACATTTTCCGACATATTATCCTCTGTTATTTAGTACCTATTTACTATTTTCATATCATAGTGATAAATTTGTTTTGCCCCTTCCCAGCCATCCTTATAATCACATTTTTTAACTATACAAATGTATTTTAAACAATGAAAAATAAACACAATTTATCATCAATAATTCTAGAAATCCTTGTTCCATCACTGTTTACGTATATTATTATTAGGTACTAGTGTTATTACCAAATTTTCTATAATTTAAATGTGTATAAATATAATTAAATTAATATTATAAATAGTTTTATAAAAAGTCATTGATGAGTGATGACAAGGTCATCATAAACCTACTACAAAATAAATTAAAATTTAGATTATTTCATTGCTATTTTAATTCATAGAAAATGTAAAATACTCACAGGTGCTCCATTACTACCACAGTATCACCTGCCTATGTATAAGATTGGGTTAAAGGCTAAAGCCTATAATATATCCTAAGACTATAAAACCTGAGGAACCTATTAGACATATCAGTATTTATATTCAATACTAGCTGATCCCGTGTACTTCGTTACCCGTTAAATGTACCAAATATATATGACTCAAACTTAGTTCAATTCGTTATTTAATATTCAGTATATGGTGTTCAAAATGTATCTTAACTTTTCCGTTGGCCGGGATAATAATAATAATTCTGATTCGCAGCAGTATATTATCAGGTAGGCAATCTACCTGCGGTAGATCGAGGACCCCTTGATGTTTGTATGTAAATGAATGATTTAACTCTAAAGTATCAAAGTTATACCAAGTTTGTTGTATTCCACCTAATGGTGGATTAATAGTGAGTTAATACAAAATCCTAACCGTACTAATATCAGATGAATAAAAAAAAACCAAATTTAACCATTTTTAAATTAGCTTGTCTTCTTCCCAGAGGTCTAATCTTACACACAAACATTCAATTATTTATATTGACAAAAAACAAAATACAAATCAACAAACATGGCCGATTAACCAATAGCAACCAATATAAATTATAATACACTGTTGCGCCACTGTTGTATTTTTTTCATCAAGATTTCCTACTTTTCCGGTTGATTTCCTAAAATTTTCTTTCGTATAAATCTTCTCCTGGCAATTACGAACATCTTAAAAAAAAATTTGAGCCATTTCGGACCAGCCGTTCTCGAGTAAAAAATAAAAATAAAACAATAACAATAATACAAATCAACAAACATGCCCGATTAACCAATAGCAACCAATACACTATTATTATTTTAATCTAAAACAAATTTTTTTATTATTTAATTAATTTTTTTTGGTTAGATGGCGCAACTATTGTATTTGTTGACATTCTAATTTTCTGCTTTTCCGGTGGGTTTTCCTAAAATTTTCTATCTTTCCAATCTTCTCCAGGCAATTACGAACATCATAAAAACATTTTAGCCAAATCGGTAATACCGTTCTCGAGTTTTAGCGAGACAAACGAACAGCAATTCATTTTTATATATAAGACTAACTGCTAATATGTTTTTTCGATTGTAAGAGGAGAGAGAACACTTTTCACTTTATATTGGTGTTATAGTTATAGTTAGTTTTAAGATTCTGAGTGGTGCGACGAATGTCAACTGGCGACGTCTGTTTGAAATTTAGCTCAAAAACCGCACCATTAGTTACACAATTATTTGTAACCACAATTAAAAAAAAGTTGTAGACCTCCTCATTAATATTTTTAAATCCATATTTTGTATTGCAGAGGTGGCACCGGAAATTTTATTTATGAGGCCTATTGTCTAAAAAAACTATACATTTTACTAGTGTAATTAAAATAAATTCCTAATATGGGTAGTATACTAGTATAGGCGTTCTAGTATGAGGAGCCTGTTAATAATATCTATATAGGTGACTGATGTGTATCTTACCTTGACGCGCTAGAACATTACTCTCGACTCGTAATCCTTGGGAAACGCGTGACGCGTTTTGCCGAACCAGAAGTGAAAATGTTGTCAAATATACGTATACTAGACTTGTTTTGTTGGAATGTCACAATTGCTGAAATTGTGCTATTGTATAACTATAACACTTTTCGCACTCACGAACGTTGACAATAGATGTTGGTTTAATTGGAAACCTTTGAAATATTGAGGATCAGACGGCTGGATGCGGAGAAAACTCCTTTGTTTTCTTTACACTTACCAGTTGATAGTTACCAACGGAATATATCGTGGTTACCTTTGGATAGTGTTTGATTTACACAGTTACACTACGGTATAAATTCTGGCCTTTCGACCGCAGTCCACGTTGTTAATGGTAAATTCACGAGCGTGTAACCAAGACATTTTCAGTCTTCAGTCGGTAACTTTTTGCCACTTTCCCAGCTTTTTTCTTCGCTTTCATCTTGCTGTTAAATTCTCATAACACCATTCTTGTATAGTCATCTTCGAATTCGTCTTAATATAGGTGTGTAGATATACAGTGCGTTGAATTGTGAGGGGTGTGAATTCAGTTATTACGTATGTTTGCGAACATCATAATTTTCAGTTCTACAAAACTGTTATCTGTTGCCTATTTGCCGATTTGCACAAGCTATACCCGTTTGCCGAGGGTGGCGCGTCATGGTAAAATGCTCAGCAGTTACTCATATTATTCTCAGGACCTCAGCTTTTACTCTACCAATATTAAAATTAACTAAGATCATATGAGGCATACAATCTATTTAGATTATCTCTCTCTCTCTCTCTCTTCATAAATATATATAAGAGAGTCCCTTACTTTTGTTCATGGTAATCCCCGAATCTACTGACTTTATTTATATGAGGTTGTTCCTACATGGTAGACTATTTTCAAAGAAGGACATAGGATACCTAACTCTTATTCCCGGAAAACTGGGTGGTGAAATAGTAATATGTCCGTGGGCGCCATGTGTCTAGTTTTTAAATTTTTTTTTAAACACCTGTGGAACCATCTGTCCTGTGTTTCCTATAAATTCATTGCTATGATAATTATGACTTTTGTATACGAAACCACTCACTTGATCATGTGAGTGGTTTAACAGTTTTAAGAATAGATTTATCGACCCTACTCCCATACATACAGAAATACATTCAACATATAGAAATATGCCAATATTACTACAATATACTATGAGCACGCTGTCAGGACGTTGCGCCACGTTGGGAGATCTATACAATTTGACCGTGCAGGTTATTTACAGGAGGACCTCGATATATATGCATGAATGGACTCAATAAGACATAAGTACTAAAATATGGTCGGTATATATCAATCACTTTCACAATATGTAAACGAACATAAAACAGTTAAAATTACTTAATATTGAAGAACAAAAATTATTCAACAACGTTTTAAAAAAAGAACCAATTGGAATGGAGTTGAGACAACCAATTCGTGCGGAGTCGGGTAATAGTATGGCCATAACATTTAAAAAAAATGCCGCCCGGGATGATAGCCTCAGACTCCCTCTAAATACGTCGACTATATTAAATGATGATTTTGAGAATATTGCGTATTACACCTATCATTAGTCCGTAGTCGTTATATATTGTAATAATATACGCTTGTATTACGCGATGATACTTAGATACCTTGACAAATATATTATACGCGTAGGTAATAACGGCGTAACGCATAGGTATATAATTAAAATGGTATTCGATTGTAATTTGTAACTCGTAAGTATGAAACAAATTAGCGGAGAAATTTTCGAGAATACCATTAGCTCTTGTACAGTACGTACATGAGTGCATGAGAGGCACTACATCTTCAAATAGTAATCTATACGAGTTACTTATTAATAGTTTCTGGATTTCACATAATCAAGCATATCTACATCGGTCTCTCTTGTATTCTACATTATATGATATTACCTATAGAGCACATTATAATATCTATATAATATTAATAACAGTGTACCTAATATATACTTATATATTAAACGATAAATATGTATAATACATAGATTTACCCAACTTCTTATACTTACTCTACTATATAGGCAATCCTAGCCGGCTCCTAAACTGAACCCACATGACCTAGTAATATACTTAGCGTTTAATTTTTATTTTGGAAGTATAGTTTACTTATTGTACACACAGAATAGATTGTAAAAAAAAATAATTATTAACGATTAAAAAAATTTAAAGGCAGGTACGTGCAATTTGATATCGCTATACAGTTATTATAATTATATAGTTTGACATTAGATGAACTCTACTGTCATCACTCATTAATAAAATTATATATTTTAAGGAAATTGAAATTTGATCATTACCTTGGCCGATGATTGGTGGAATATATTTGAATATGAAATAAGGCAAACCAAGAGAATGGGCAAATGCTTTCAAATACATATCATTTGGTATCCACGGAATCCATTTATCAGAGTATTTCTGTAATAAATAATATTAATTAACTAAATTTTGATTAATGCAATTATTGTTAAAGTTAAAAATAAATTATTTTAGTTAAGATGGGATGTCGTAACCTCGTGTGTTGATCCCGTCTTGCTATTACATAACTCAGAAAAGTTTAGGTACGTTCAGAAGACTAAATTTTGCTGTATTTTATTTTTAATATTAACGTGAATTGATTAATTACCAAATTTGAAGGCAAGAATACATATTATCTGTGTTCTCTGCTCATAGTTTTTAATATAAATTGTAATTATAAAGCGATTTATAAAGAGGTAAGATGATAAGATTAATGTTTGTATATTGCATTCAAATTAAAAATTAAAAAAAAAATATGACGAAAGTAGTTTCCTAAATATTATATTGCAAAGAAAGACAAAAAATGGATTCTATAAAAATTCACTATGTTGTACGTTTGTAAGAAGGAGACAACACAATATGTGAGTACTACGCATTACGTCCTCTTAACATGATTGTTTTAGTTATAAAACTATTGTATGTAAACTTCGTTGTTTTTGTAACTTATTCACATAGTGGCATATATCTACAATAAAAAATAAACAACATATTTTGAAATGTTTTTGATATTGTTTTAAAATAAGAAAATCGAACAAACAATAGTTCCCTTATGCGTATATTATAATATTTTAATTGCTTAGTTTGATAATAGGTCAATAAATATTATTTATGCATTAGTCTAGAGCCCACAGACCACAGATTTGGTTGCGCGGAACGTAATTAATTTTTATTCGTTGCGTAACTGATAGAGAAACAATTAAATAAGATTATTTTGTCACGTCCTTTTAAGACTTACTTATATCCGCCTATATAATAATATAAGCTTTACTCCTATAATAATAAAGTCACAGCAATTTAAATGTAAAACCTTTGATACTCGGACCTTTAAATCTGAATTCAAATATCATATTACAAGACGTATCGAAACATCGACAGTTAAGGCCTTAACAATTACAAAAATAGACATTTTAATTTGAATTGAAACTGCGTACTTAGTAGGTCAAGTTTCTGGTATTTAATTCGTCTAAAAAATATTATTTCATATTTTCATAGCAATGAAAAAATTATCTCGTTAAAATAAATGATAACGTAAAGTTAATAAATTTAAATATATAATGTACCTATTAATTAAATATAATAATAATAATAATTATGTTTAGCAGTCGAATAGTTAAATTGAACACGTTTATAGTTTTAACCTATCAAATAAACTATAACAGTGAACTTAAGACAGTTATTACAAATATTGGTTGGTTTGATATCCATGATTTGGTTGTATAGGTACATATCTTTGATACCAAATAATAGTTTTTACAACATATTATAATATGTTTCAAAATAAATTCAAACGAATTTTAATCTCGTTTATCAAATTGATAATTTGATTATTTGATAATTTGCATAAGCATTCGGCACTCAGCAGCCAACAAAACACAAAGTCCGATCCAGCCTATAATAACATAGGTATTATAATTAACTGCTCGAAATTAGGAATGAGGTCTCGGTCTGTACCTATACTATCTTATTGTTTGAAATAATATTATTAATTTTATAGTTAATACTGTTTATAGTGCCTATATCTCAAGATGGCAGAGATACCTTTGAGCTTTGACACTGTTTTTTTACTATTATTATAGACGATTTAATTTGATTAAACAATAACCTTTATAGGTATGTCAATATTTTGGTCTGGACCCGGTTATTTATATTTTGCAATAATAGTGATAATAAAAAATATTGTTGCATTTCGTAAATACCTAATGGTGTCATTGTTGTATGGGTGTAATGTTTATTTTGTATAAGTACAATGTGTTTTGTACAATGTGTTCCGGGGGGGGGGGGGGAGTGACCGGTCGACGTCATATGAAAATATACCAAAAATAATGAAGAAATACTCTTTAAAGATGGTTTCTAAGTTTTTATTTTTTAAGTTATGAGCAATTATAATTTTATACTTACATTCAATTGATCAGTTGGAATGTTAGTCGGGTAAAATACTCTCGCAAAACATCCTTCTTCGGAATATTCTGTCATTAATTCCATACATCCTGTTGCGTGTGGACCTAGAACATATATATTATTTTATAATTCGTAAGTTATGTCAAAGTTAATATAATATATGACAAATTAATCTGCTATAGCATTTATCAATTATCATTTATAAATAATTGCACCTACAAAAAAAAAAAAAAAAATGTTTTAAAAAAATTAATTAAATATAAATATTACTTCTGATAATAACCACCATAAAAAAAAGTTGATTCTGCAACAGTTTTTACATTTAAACTAAACCCTTCATAGCTATCTGTTTTTTCATTAAATTTAAGAGTACATTTTGATGAAATAGTTATTTATTTAAGGGCTGTTAAAAAGTCTTTTTGATATTATCATTTTAACTGAAACATGGCATATTACTGTTTTAATAACACCTTGAATGGTTTTGTTTGTTGAAGTTCAATTTTAACAAATGCGATAGAGTTACTATATATTTTGTCAAAAAAAAATTAACATTTTAAATGTTTCTAGGATTGTTATATTTTATTGTAATTCAATTGAACTAGGTACTATGACTTATAAGAAAATTAATTTATAAAATTCACTATCATAGGAATTTATCAGTCTCCTAATCATAATGATGAACAATTCTTATAACTAATTTAGAAAGCTACCTACAATTAAGCTCAAATATTAAAAATATTGTTACAAGCAGTGATATAAATATTAACATTTTAAACAATTCACATACCTACTCTTAATAACTAATAACTATATTTCGATATTATAATGGCTAATGTTTACACTTTACATGATATTATGCAAAATATATAACTAACTATAGGCGAATAACCAATAATTCAAATTCAAATCAGGATCATATTGTCATTAGAAACAATAATACAAATATAGCCAAATCATAAAACGTTTGATAATTTTGCATTTTTGTAAAATCATTAAAGTTTTGCTGTGATAATACAAATATAGGTAGATGACAAAAATTTTGAAAATATTTTAAATATCCAAAAATATAAATATAATTTTGGTTATCTTAATACATTAATATACATTAATATCTTTTAAAAATTGGCATGCATAACTAAACGTTGATGATGTAGATAATATAGACCTTGATATTTTAAACAAAAAATTAAATAATTTATAAGTTTGCTTTATCAATAAATGCCTCAACAAATCAAACAAATATCATAAACTAGAATATTTGGTAACCAGCGGTACCTATTGTAGTTTCAATCATTTACTAAGACAGTTTATCCAAACAAATAAAAAAAACAACCATATTTAACTATATTAAAAAAAAATAATTTACCACTTTTAGAATCTTCCTTATCAAAATAAATTATTCTCAAATCCAAAGAATTATAGTATAGGGGTAAATTTCTTACTTTTAAAAATTACCAACTAAACATGGAAACTAATTAAGCTTCTAACTGTCAAAAAAGTATTAAAAAATAATTCAATTGATAAAAACTATAAACCATGGATCTATTTCTGAGTATAGTTTTGATACATGTTATGAAATTTAATAAAATTGTTTTTATTAATGTTGGGAAGAAATATAAAATAATATTAATGTAATTTACAATGTATACTTGGATTATAGTTTGTGTTGTAAGATGCGTAGGTAATTTTTTTTATGCAAATAAACGATAATGGCTTACGGAAGAATTAAAACTCTCCAAACCAGATATTGTATCCTGTTTATTTGCTATTGACCTTGGTTATCTATAAGGTAAGAAACACATTCAGTACCTAAGCTATTTTCGCTTTAAATAAGAATATACTTAAGAAGTTACCAGTGCGTAGATAATTTGAAAGCTATTAAATGTTTGAAATTAATACGTTTATAATAAGTGCACAACGTTGTAGGCCCATTGTAGTTATTATTATAAGATGTACGTTGTTAATAAAAAAGTAAACACAGCCCGTACGACCACTATTACTGATGGGTTTGATATTTTCGTTCATTGGGCTGAATTGTCCAGTATTTTATTTGCTTGTTCGTAAATATTATGCTGGGTCACGGGGAAATTCCCATTTGTTAAACCCAAATTTTAATTAGTACAAATTATGAGAGTTTTGTGGTAACACAATTCCAAACGCTCAACCACAACTAGCTTACTTCATACGTATAGATAGATATAACAATATACTAATTGAATATATATAGAAAAAACTAACGATTACATGTTTTTGGTCTAGTGTAAAAATAATATTTTGAATATAAAATATGTAAGTATAGATTACATAACGCATTATATAATATTATTAAATACCTACTCATTGTGATAGTAGTGTTTACGTTTGACATACGTTCAACAGTGCGGAAAATATGTACACGGAAATGAAAACTCTGAAATTTTGGTTTGAGTTTACATCACTATAAAATTAAACAAAGATTTCAATCATATTAATATTGAATTTAGTGAGGTATACGAGGTCATTTTTAAAATAAATAATAAATTCCAATTTTAAATAATAATTATAATAATTTTCAGTGCCCAGACATATTTTGTAATGGCACAGCCACAGGCCCGGGGTTTTTTTTTTATTTGTTTTTTATCTTTACCTTAATTGAATACTTGATCTTTATATACTAACTGACTTAATTATTTCCATAAAAAAAAAATATTCACCAATAAATTACTAAGTTATTAGCTAATACAAATTGATCAGCAAGGGTTTCCCAAAATTGAACGATTATTGTTTTACGGTAATCAATTTCCTCGATAGGTACTAAAACTAAATCATTCATATATTACTGTATTTTGTAACCAATGGCAACTATTAATAAATAAAAATAAAATTTCCAATTTCCATCGTGAATCTCAATGTCCCTGTTTGAGCATCTATTTAAAATGCGAATTTCGGCAAATCCTTTCTTATTGCACGGTGTAAATATGAGAAGAATCTCTATTCCAAATTTCAAGTCCGTATGTTGCGTAGTTTTTGAGATACAGCGATCAGTGAGTGAGTGGTATTTGGATTGTATATGTATAGATTTAAATGAAAATTACAATAGTTCAATATTAGTAATAATAATAATAATAATTATGTTTTTATAAAAACAAAAGTTTGATAATCCCTGATTTGAAAATATTGGCTATAATATACGCTAACAACTTCTTTCAAAATTCTTTTCTTGAATTCTCTTTCCATTATATCTACTGGTATACGGTATCTTACGTATATCGTGTGTTGGATTTTGTTGGATGTTTTATTTATTCCACTAGCTGAGTAATACCATTAATTGGTACTACATATTTCCAGGGCGCATTTATGAATTTTGAACCAGGGGGTAAAATTATTTTTCACCAAACCACACCACGCCATCACTATCAGTGCTTTTCTTTAACTTTATTTTGATGACTATCTTTTTTTCTCGGAAAAATCAATAAACTATATATTTAATAAAGATACCTATATAATATTACTAACTGACACTGAAATGCTTTGCTATTGCTAGGTTTTGTGATTGTTCAATTCCTTTTGGGTGTAACACGCTGTGGAAGCAATTTATTTTTAAGTTTAAATTATATTATATTTTAATTTATAGCCATCCCGACCGGCGTTGTCCGTGAGATTCACTTGTGATTTTCTTGGAATATTATCAGGCATGCACCTATCTGTGGTAGATCGCGGACCCCACATGGTCAGATGTTGTTATATTAAAAAAATAAAAATAAAACGAACCCATTAATTTTTATTTAATTAATTAATTTTACATTTTGAAATCTCCTCATATTAATACATTATAACTACCTACGTACTGGTTAGTGGTTATTGTTTTATTAAAGAAGTATAGTTTATGTGGATTAACCATAAACGTCTAAAATTGTGACTATCAGAAATTTTAACGATCGTTTGATTACGAATTCGTGACAAAATATTATTATAGTCTATTATTCTGTAAGTGCGTAGAACTTATATAATGATATTATGTACTCACGGTGACCATTTTTGTCATAACCTAACTGCCTAATTGAAACGAACATATTATGCGTTTGTAGGCGGTGTAATAATAATATTATCCTATTTATTGGCAATAGATCGTTTGAAATAATTTATCGACAGGTTTTTATCACTAATATTAAAATCAAAACATAAATTGTGGTACCTGTAGGATAAGGTATGTGAAGCTTTTTCGATTGTTCCTTGTTCATCACTAACTATTATTCACGTGGCTTTGAACACGACGATTTATTTTTAAACCACTATAGGATTAGCGCGTACTTGCACGTAGGTATACGTTGAACGTTAACGAAATCGGCGACTGAGCGGTTTTCCTACACGTTTCACAAACCATATAATCCAATGTGCAATTTTAGTGGGGACTTGTATCGCAGTTAGTTAGAATATTGGAGGTATAATGGTACATATATATATGAAAGTACCTACTACGTACACTACAGTAATAAGACATTTTTTTTTTAAAATTAATAACGATTTATGAATGCCGTTCTTAAAGTTTGACATTTATTATGCAAATAAAGTTGGTAAAAACTTTATGCAACCTGCACCTCGTTTTTGATAGTAATAATAATAATAACATCAATTTGTAATCATATATTGACTGATGTATTATAGATATAGTTAAATAGCGTATCATAAATTGATGAAAAAATAAAAATAAATAGCTTTTGATAAGAAGTAATTTGTATTATGATTTGCAACTCAAAGTCCGCTAAGGTTAATAATTACGTACGAGATAGATACTACTACGTAGGTATCTATTTTCAATAAGGAAATTGAATACATATTATTTAAATGTTTCTGGATATGTAATATGTTTGAAATAATTAAAAGGAAATTGTGTATTTATTTTTATAATGTAGATACTGTATTAGTGTATTTACTACAAACGTTTAAATTCAAATTATATGACAAGTATTGAAATTTTTTTATCTTAAAATTTGCTCAAAAACATATTTGGATACCTTTTCCCCCCTGCAGTATGTAACCAACAGCAGAACCTCTTCTCCGAGGCCCTACAATTCATCAGACCACAACTCTGCTGCCACATTTGGATATCTAATTTTTATCCCATAGATTTATAAAATTGGGGAATTTATATTTTATATATTTATATAGTCAATAATATGTCCATGCCTGACAATAAATAAAAATGTATAGTAAATTTACATTCAGATTTTATAAAATTCATGTTATAATGAGTAACGAAAAAAATCGTAGGATAAACGACCCAGTAAAGCTATAATTTTAATATGCTTTTTAATTTTTATTTATATATACTTATATACTTTTGCATGTTCAATGTTGTGTGTATGTAAGTATGGAATTTATTGGTGGTGGGACGGAGGACTATTTAAAGCAATTGCTTCATGTATATAATGGATGGGTGGGCGGGTGGCCAGGTTCGGATATATTAAGGTAAGACATAAATTTCTCATCATAAATATTATAACCTATAGGTAACTAATATAATATTATGTTTGCTTTAAAGACACAAACAATTTGATCATACACATAATGAATGCTTGAGTTAGAGAGATTAATATATTGTATGATGGTGGGAAGTTACAATTATTAATGTCGTCACTTTATCAATTTTGAGAGTGGAACTGTGATATAAACTTAGTAATTGATGGCAACCACATTAATAACCATGCAAATTGAAGGTTGAAAACATAGAATTTCCCAATAAGTCGGTAAATCTCACAATTTTCAAAATATTTTTTCCATTAATTAATGGCATATCGCTCCTAATTTTAATATATTTATAAACTCATAGAATACTCAACATTTTATATTTTAACATATTTATTGAGTACTTAAAGTTTGAAAAAATACTATATACATTATACACTATAGTAAACGGTGCACGAAACACAACACATAATTGTTTTTTCTAGTGATGTGAGTATCGTAAATTTACCATGTAAGATTTTAACGGTTAAGTAAATTTACCTTAAATTTACAAAAAAAAATTTACAATTTACATTTTATTTACCTCTCAAATAGTTGGGTGACCACTTTATTTGTATGTTTTTGTAGTTTTTATTAAGATATTAGGATTATAATACAAATCAAGATTTTTATAAAATGATAATGACAGTTAAGTGGTACGAATTATTGTGATATGGTGTATGTGGTATTACCACGATTTAAGGTATATCTTAAATCGTGGTGGTTACTGGTACTTCATTATAAGAGTAAAATATTAATTTGAAAAAATCTGCTGTTTTCTTTATACTATAAGATGTTCTACATTTTTTTCTACATATTTTTTTTTCAAGCAAATCAAAATTGTTTTTATTTTATATTTTACTATAATTAATTATTAATTTTTATTTTTAATAAAGGGATTAAATAAATTATTAAATACTAATACTTTATTTTATATTTATCTTGCCTTCTTCACATAATATTGTGAAAAAATTCAACAGGTACACTATAAAATGAATTTTAATAAAAATTTACCAATTTTATCGTAAATTACCGAAAAATGTTTTTACGTAAAATCCACATCTCTAGCTTTTTATAATACTTTTAAAAACTATTAAATAACATAATTATTAATTACTATCAACTACCTTGCCTACAATTGAGCGTATCGAGACGAATTCATCTATAATTTTTTTCAAATAAGAATGAACCGCTCGGCCAACGAAAACTTGTTTTGTTCGCGAATTCCGGACAACGGCGGGAGCGTATGCACGGCAGCCAATCACAGAATGCATCGACTGGCGGCTCAGTCTGCATGCGCGAAACGGTTCATTCTTATATGAATAAAAAACAATAAAAAATTTTTTTTTTTTAATACTACTTAATACATGAACGAAAAAGTTGAAAATAAACTTACTTTTAAAACAATTTCTTAATGAAACTTCAAGGTTATCAAGATATTACTAAAAGTATTTTTAAAATGTATTTGTTGCAAAATTTTTAAAACTTGTGAATTACAAAAAAACGAAAAGCATGGGGCACTTTGCACTTATGATAACTCCTATGTAAAGTCACTCTACAACTGAATCATTAGATAAACTTTATGATAAATATTTTAAAGATTATTGATCATACTTCCAATTTTGTAAGAGATATTCTTGACTCGTAGGAGCCCCATGCATTTCGTTTTTTGTAATTCACAAGTTTTAAAAATTTTGCAACAAATACATTTTAGAAACACTTTTAGTAATATCTTGATAATCTTGATATATATTAAGAAATTGTTTTAAAAGTAAGTTTATTTTCAACTTTTTCGTTCATGTATTAAGTAGTATTAAGAAAAGCATGTTTTTAAAAATATTTTTTTTTGACAAATGGGTCATGTATTGTCACCGACCCCAGTGGCGGCCTGGGTTCATTTTTTTTGGTCGGCTGGAATTTAAAAAGGCCCTGACCAATAAGACTAATAGAAAATGTGCAAATGCAAATGGCTATGGGCCTTTTTACAGTTTTACATTTTTAAAGATACCTAATCATTTTGAAGTTCTACTACCCCCACCTCTTCCAAAAAAATGTATATGTAACTATTTTTGTAAGTACCTTATTTATGTTTCAATTAACTTTACCCCTTTGGTATTACCTATAAAAACAAATAACAAAATATCTATAATGTTACCTATTCAACATTGCTGTTGATGCATATACTATAATATTAATAGGTATTTGTATCATTTTCATTAACTACCGCTAGGTATAGCTCTTGCCTGTTGCATGAAGTCTAATAGTCTACATACCGAATACTTCATATTATAATATATGAGGACCTGGTTAATATTATTCATATTAATTGTGTGTGCTAAACAACTTTTTAGTGTCTACCACCGCATTATTATATAATATTTAATATTCAAATAAATAATACAGAATATTCAATGTTTTAATAAATTTGAATAAATAATAATTAATAAATGATTAAATAAGTCTGTAAGTAATTGTAAGTAAATGTTTAATATCATCATCAAATATCAACTAGTTAAAATAAAATGAAAAAAAATGGACTATAAATAATAAATAAAATTAGTTAACAAACTTAGTTATTTATGAACATTTAAAATAATATAATCTCAATCGGGTAATGGCTGTAAGGGCCCATTTAGCCGAGGGCCCAGTCGGCGATCGCCGACTCGCCGACCTGGCCAGGCCGCCACTGACCGACCCTAGACCTCCATACAAAATTTGAGCCTCCTAAGTCATGTAGAAGTGACTTAAATTGAACTTGCAAGATTTGATGACAACAGAAATGAAATATTGCGAGTTAAAGAAAAGCATGTGAAAAGAGTATAGTGCTGGACCCTGGTGCTCTGTTCATTATATTCTTACTATGAGTCAAGAATACTTAGGTTCTGTGTTCTCGTATCAATTTGACTTACAGTGATGATTACTTTTAATGTTAGATGCAATGAAATACTATTAACACTTTTGACTCTGAACGCTTAAGTACCTAAATAGGTTAGTTATGTTTTCATTGCAATAATAATTAATAGTTAATACTTATAAGTTTTAATGTGTGCTACCAGCTTCCGTGCAATGAACTATTTTCTTTTTTGTATATTATGCTAATTTATTTGTTACATCTTCAGTTTTCTATTATCTTAGGACTGAGATCTGTAAAATATGAACCCAACAATAACCATTTAAACTATGCCTAACAATTATTATAGGGAAAACGAAAGTGTTTAATGAAATACAATTAAAAACGGTTAATCCATTGTTATCATTAATATTTATGTATCAGGGCGTGGAGATTAAACTTTGACTTTAGTACTTGACGGTGTAATAATGATTGTGTATGACGTTCATTAATATCAAGACAATTATAAGTTAAAATTAAGTGAATTAAAACTGTTTTACTCAGCAGTTCTGTAACTTGTGAGTGTCTACATGTCATGAACTAATGTATGATGTGAAAAATAAATAAACATCAGCTACGTAACAACCTAACCTAAACACTGGTATTGTACGAATAGTCGCAAATAAAATTAATATAGAATACCGGATATGCTAATACTAAGGTCTGAGAATAACTTACACTGCAGTAGACAACGCCATAATTATAAACATAATACAAACAACAAACATTACATAAAATACGTATAACCTGATTTATTTACTCCACATCATTAGAATGTATAATATACTATGCAACTATAATTAGCCATTGGTCTAACACGAAGTATAATGTATGGTTTTTTTGTGC